TTTATATATAATTTTATTCGAATAAGGTGTAGGGGAGAGTGTAACCAGTGACTCCTAATGAAAAAATTGAGTAAATTAGTATAATATATAGTAAATCGAGAATGAAATTTAGGGAACTTCTAATTGAGAATGGTTGACCGAGAGATCATGTGTTCGAATCTTTGTGATCCCATTTGTTAATCACATGATATTCGAATTTGAGAAAACTATAAGCACGTATAAGTTGGTTTTCATTAGTAGGGATGTGTTAGTAAATACTAAATAGTATAAGATCCATTATTAAATCTTCCCCAACAACTCGAAATATTGATACTAACGGTCTTGACAAAGAAAACCGTTAAAAGCAAATGTGTAACTAAATCATGAAAAATTGTTTGATACATGTAGAGTGATATTCTTGATAATTTCAAAATCTATTTAATTTACCAAGTTTTTGTAAATACAAAATTATATCATGAATGATTTAAAAAACTAACAAAACTATTTTATCATGTGTATTTTTCTTAAATGAACCCACCCTCAATAAAATTTTGGCTACGCCCCTGATTGAAACGATGATGAACAGTTGGACAACAGCCCAATACCAGAATTCAAGAAACCACAATTTATCTTTAACGTCTAAGAGAAAACTTGTTAAAATTTTGCTCTTCACAATTACTTTTTTTTATTCATTAAAAAGACATGTACTGCGATTCGAACAATGACCATTTTAAAGAAAAGCAAGGATCATAACCAATCACACTAAGTACATTTGTTGTATCTTTTTAAATTAAAAACATATAATAGCAGGGAGGAAAAAACCATTCCCCCATTTCAAATTCTCTGCTCCAGGAGCGTTTGTAGGAAGGGTAGAATAGAGAGTGTCAATTTTTTTCTCTTTACTCTGTGGAACGGGCCAACTTACCGTACACATGCGGATTTAAACGGGTCCAGGACTGTCAATTTTTTTCTTTAAGCCCTTTTATTTCTCTGTGGTGATAAAATATATATGAAAAGGCAAAAACAATACTCATTTTTATTGCTAAAAATAAAAAATTTAACAATAAACTAATGCATGGTATCTAATGGGCTAACTGCTAACCATAAAATAAAAGAGTTGAATGGGCCTGACCTACACGGGATTTGGCAATCAAGTAAAACAAATGAACATCATTGGTTTGCCATTCTAAAACAATCTATTTTCTCTGGCATAATATATATTATGCTATTATTTTATATCCTAGTGGCTAAAATATAATGTATTTTAAAGTTAATCAATGGTTCAACCTCGACCAACCCAATTAGTCCAATTTTTATCATTTTAAATATATATTATATAATTGTTTGATATCATAATGATCAAATTATAGTGTATTTTATAGGGAACCGTTTGGTATTTGTTAGTAAAAACTAAACAAAAAGATCTATTTGGTTATTTTAAACATTAAAATGATCCTAAACATTTTCAGTTCCTTTTGAATTTCTATGGTTTTATTCCCGAGTAAGTGATGTGCAAATGGCGAATTGAAGTCATCTCTTTTCTTTCACTATTTTTTGTTTTCAAATAGAAAGTTTAAAAATAAAGAATAATTAGAATTTGGCATGGGTCGGTCAAACAGGTTGAATTTCAAGTTTTGGCCCGTTTTTATCAAGTCTAATTTATAATCACATGGTTCCCTAATACCCGATAAAAATCTCAATCCAAATCAGTTTGGCAGGTGAGTCCGTGTTTACCACCATTTTCTAGGGATACGACAACGACGGTTCCTATTCCAAATCGTGTTGTTCGTTCTTGATTTCCTTAGATTTTATCATTGTCTGACCAAAACTAGAAAGCACAATGACGACAAGTTGAAAGTTTTATAAAGCAATTTAATTTGCCAACGGGCCGAGTAAAAGCTAGCAACGATTGTGAGATGCTCATTTCCCGAAAACCGACGGGATATGCGATTTTTTATTCGATTTTCTGGAATTCGGTTTCTATAAAACTTACTCCACCTCATCATATTACCAGAAACAATATTGTTTCACAAGGTAACAGGTACTTGATTTTGTTCATAAGGCCGATTTTTGATTTGTTGTATCATTCATGTCTATTTCCTGCTAAAATTCACTATTTTTATCACGTGTTTCCCAAAAAAAAAAACTAAACAACAATAAGCTATACACCCCATTACATTATCAAATTTCATACCTCACCTTCCTCCGGCCAACTAGCCGGGGCCACGCTAGTTATATATATACTAGGTGTCGATGCCGCCACTTGTCGCGGGATGGAGATGGCCTATGGGCATGTATTATGTGGCCCAATAAGGTGTTTTCTTAGTATTATTAGTCTAAAATTAATTTTTTTAGCAGCTTTGTTAGTGATATTGACTGAGAATAGATATATCGCGGTCAACAACCAATTCAAAAATTTAGAAAATTTTTGCTAATAAATGATATTTACCTAAACCCAAGTAGACTCATTGATTATGGGTAGGTTATGTGTGACGTGTATATGAGTTTGAAAGTTTGTAGATGGGTTTGGGTAGGGTATAGATATTTACTTTCATAATCTAAAGATGTGTATGAGTTGCGTATGGATACCCATTTATTCAAGGGTGTTTTAATAACACATACAAAAATTATACTTATTTATAGAACTTCAAAAGTTCTGGTACTAAGATGTAATACACAAAAAATTTAGGTACTAAAATGTAATGTTCCATAAATATTTTGAGGACTTAATGCAAAAAAATAAATTTAGGTTATAAATCTAAATATCTATTAAGTTAGGTACCCAACTGTAATTTGCATAATTGAGGCTTAATTCCTTTTATGGTGATGTATTTAAGATGATAATTATTTACTTTTTTATAGAAAATAGAAAAATAGTATTTGTTTGATATGTATAATTGTTGAAAATTACATGTATAATTGTTAAAAATTCTAGCCCAGGTGAAAAAGAAAAACTCCTGAGAGAAGTAAAATGAATACAAACTGGAACTTGCTTAAAATTTCATGCCTTCAAATCCCATTGTGAAAAATGACGACTTCCTAATAAGTAATAACCATATATATTTGTTTTTAATTGGACTCAACATTGAGCTGAAAAAGTTAGTGGTTCATGGTTCAATTATTAATTCTCTAGACTATTGGTCAGTCGTGTATGGACCCGTTCCTACTTGTGATTAGAATACATAAAAATAGTATAGGGTTAGACGAAGAAGGCAAAGAAAGAAATAATGAAAGGGTTACGTAAGGCGAGTGAAAAATGAAACGAAGGGGAAGTAGATGATGGAAAGGTTTTGACCAATTCTTTTAGTTGGCCGCCAATGCAACAGTCGACCCTTTTCACCGTAGCAATTTATTGACACTTGCTTATGTAGATGTCGCATATTTTGTTACATGTAGCTAGTAGAAGTGTGTTTAGTACCCCGTAAATGTACTAAATAAGTTTATAAATTCGCTCTTGCAATATTTTAGAATCGTCTCTCTTTTATTTTATTTTTTAATGTTTCATGTAATGAGCAAATATAAAATGGTCGAATCTTCTCCTATAGTTGAAGGATACAACATCTTGTATGGTACAAACTAAATTTATACTTTTATGTTATGGTGGATTGGAATCATGGATTTGTTCAAAAGGATTGGTCGATTGGATTCATGGATTCAAGTGAAATCTAAACATTGGATCAATATGTGTAAAAGTAAAAAGACGTATGTACGGAAATCTCATAAAATTTAGATAGCAAAACATACCCTATGTTTGGCCCGGCTTTGCTTTTTATTGTTTAGAATTTGTGTTCATATTATAAAATCATATTATTTAGGGCTAATACCACCGGAAATACCATTCTTTAACAAAAGTGTCATTAATATTACATCGTTTTCGATATGCCATTTGTATACTAAAATGTTTTCTCCGTTAGTTGGGCCGTTAAACATAACTGGACGACTTTTCAACGCCCAATCAGCGCTTAAAAGGATCCTCCAGCGGATCTTCTGGGTTCTCGCGGGGAGAGATTCCTCCGCCCGTCCGTCAGTGATCGCGGTGGCGATCAGGGTGGGGGCATAGTCGGGTTTGGGATTGGGTCGGGTTCCGGCTCGGCCTCTGGGTCTGTTTCCAGAATCAGCTCGAATGGGTCGGCTGGTGATGAGCCCCAGATTGGGAGTGGTGATAATCAGGCGACATTTTTCGGCGGTTACAGATTGGTTTGGTCGTCGGAGTGTGTTTCTCAGCCAAAAGACTTGGGAAAATAGCGTTGTGGGATGATTCTGGAAGTGGGAAAGGAAGGGGAAGGAGAAGGAGAAGGGGCGGCGTGGGGGCCGGGGGTTAAAATTATTTTAATTTTGTAATATAATAATAAATAAATAATATTTTCAAAAAAAATTTCCAATGTGGCACCCACTTGTCGCTTACGTGGACACAATGTTGGCCACCGTCAGGTCAACAGTCAATTCTAACGGTCAACAGAAAATTGCGTAACACAAATGACGCAGACCCCTAATAGGTTGGAATATTTTTGTGTTTATTGAAAGCATGTAATATAAATAGCACTTTTGTTAAAGAATGGTATTTCCAGTGGTATTACCCCTATTATTTAATATAGAATAAATCTAATAAGATCCATTTTGACTACTTTTTATTGTTTAGAATTTGTGTTCATATTTTATATTATAAGTCCTTTATAGTCATTTTACACAACCTCTCATATTAAAAAGCACTTCTAATAGTTTTTCAGACAAACACTCAACTGCTTTTTTTGAAAAATACTTCTCTAAAAGCTCCAGCAAGAAGCTGCTTCTGCAAAAGCTATAGCAGGGCCAAACTAACCGATAATTGTTCAATGATTTTACATTAAAATTAAATTTTTGGTATCAAAATGTAATTGTTTAGGCAACAGTAACTTGCCTTCAACTTCCCTTCTCCCTTCGGTTGAACATATGATAAACCTTTGGTCAAGTGACTTCGTTCCTTCAACGGACAATTCAGAAGAAATGGTAAGATAAGGGTAAGAGTTCTCGCGGATCTCCCTATGACCGGGAAACCTACAGAAGTAAGAATGGGAAGAGTAAAAGGAAATCGTACGAGTTGGATTGCTCGTGTGTACACGGGACAAATCCTATTTGAAATGGATGGTGTGAGTTTGTCGTATGTTCAATGATTTTACATATAAAATTTAGATACCAAAACATAATTGTTCAATAATTTTACATTAAAATTAAATTTGGGGTATCAAAATGTAAAATATACATTATAGTGACTAAGTTGTAATTTAATTAACTAGACGTGTTCACCCGCACTCTACTGTGGTAACTTGTGTTTCTGTTTTCACTTATAATCAAGGTTCTCAATCAGGTCAATCAAGTCGGTTTATAGTTAATGGTTTGATCGCTTTAGGTCGAATGTATGGAAAATTATTATATTACTTATACATTTATAAATTATATCAAATAAAATTTAATATATGGTTAATAATATATAACTTTATAACATCAATATTCAAATATTCAACTTAGAATTTCAAAAATAGGGTTAACCAAAAGGAAAACCCGGAAAAGATGCATATTTCGCAAATTAACGGGAAAATAACGTTGTATGTCTTCAACCCGAGAATCTTGCAGCAAGTCGACCCATGGGTTGATCCATTTTCATCTCGACCTGGTGAGAAAAACAGGCGCCGCACACAAACAATGCGGTTCTTGTTGCCCTGTCCCTCATTTCACACACAAACGATGCGGTTGTTGTTACCCAATTATGTGTCTTCAATCCATTATTTTTTCTTTCTAGATTTTTTTCTTTCTTATTTTTCACAACACGACTTCATTCATGGATTCCAATGCATCTCACCGCATACAAAATCATGGTTATAGTTCTGATTCTAAGGCCCTTCGCGGGACATGACCCACCGAGTATCGAAATCAAATCGAAAGGAAGGGGTACGGTTATTTTAACAGTTGTGGATCGCTTCTCTCATCGAATCGAAATTATTGTTGTCCGACTGTGGTAGACTGCATTGCTCTATTGGTAAAGATTGTGAATGAAGTCATATTATAGAAGCAAAATAGAAAACAATGTCCGATAACATAGAGAATTAGTAATAGTGATGCTCAAATTCAAAATTGATCATGAGCCCAACAAGAGACAGAAATAATTAGCCAATAAAACAAGACCGAGAGGTTTAACATTAGTTGATTCTTAGTGAAAAGTAACTCTTGTTTATATTTATATATACTAATATACCAGAAACGAGGCCACACTTCCTTGCGGTTGAAATGTAGCGAGTGGCAAATTTACTTGGAAGTTCGTGTTTCAACCGGTATTTGCAAATAATCTGTATCCTTGAATCAAATGTTTGGACTTTGCTACGGTGACATGCATGTCACGGTGACATGCACTTTTCGGTCGACCTCATATAAGATCAGGTCGACCTAATCAGTTGTTTCAGTGTACAAACAGTTTCATGGTGCCTACTTTGGAGATTCATATCTTACAATTGGCTAGATGGAAATTGGAGATTAAAGGCTTGTTTTGAAGCTGAAGTGTCCCTCTACACATTAAAGTACTTGGAAGCTCAATAGAAAGTCCAGAAGACCATTTTTGAACCTGACCAAAAGCCTATGCCAAAACTGGGAAACTGCCTGAAAATGGCTAAGTCTGGCAACGTGTTTGTCAAGCCTACTTTGGAGCTCAATTTCACAAGCATGGATGCGAGTCAAGTCCAGGGGCCTTTACCACGTTAAATTACGTATTTTTTTATACAAATGCAAGGCATTGAATGAAAGATTGAATATCTTTAAGGCTTCAAACAAAAGGCTCGAAGTTGCTACGAAGGATGTTTTCTGGCAGCTTGCTTGTGCTCGAAGTTTGCCAGAAAAACAGCCTTCGTAGCAACTTCGACCCTTTTGTTTGAAGCCTTAAAGATATCCAATCTTTCATCCAATTCCTTGAATTTGTATAAAAACATACCTAATTTAACGTGGTAGAGGCTCCTGGACTCGACTCGCATTCATGCTTCTCGAATTGAGCTCAAAAATAGGCTTCACAAACACGTTTCCAGACTTAGCCATTTCTAGGCAGTTTCCCAGTTTTGGCATAGCCTTTTGATGAGGTTCAAAAATGGTCTTCTGGACTTCCTATCGAGCACTCAATCACTTCAATATGTAGAGGGACACTCCAACTTCAAAAGAAGTCATTAGTCTTCAATTTCCATCTAGCCAATTGTATGATATGAATATCCAAAGTAGGCACCATAAACTGTTTTTACACTGAAACAACATATTAGGTCGACCGGATCCTATATGAGGTCGACCGAATCCTAAATGAGGTCGACCGGATCCTATATGAGGTCGACCGAATTCTATATGAGGTCGACCTAATCCTAACTGAGGTCGACCGGAAAGTGCAAGTCACCGTGACATGCATGTCACCGTAGGCACACCCCAAATGTTTTTCAAGTTAAATATCTTGTGTCAAATAACTCAAATTAAGTGAGTTGTTTATATGGAGTACTTATTATGCCAAATAAAAATAATTGTATAAAATTTTAGCACGTAATGGACAAATTTATTACGGATAAGGAAAAAGAGTACACTACCCAAACTCCAGAATAACCCTTCTCATTCTTTACATAATGAGGTTCAAAAAATTTAAACTAATCATCATCATGCTCTTACTATTCTCAATATTTCCATACCTAAATAAGTGTAGGTAAGAGATTTATCAATTTGCAATCATTCACCCACTAAAGTTCATGTTATTTGCGGGTAGGGGTGTCTATACGGTCCGGTTAAATTGGCCCAAATTGATCCGGTCCAGTCCGGTCTTTTTTGGAAATATAAGGACCGAAGATTGGATTGGATACAGTCCGGTCCTGTCCCAATTCGGTCTTGATTTTATATTGAGATTGTGGGGATTTGAGTGGCCTAAGGCCTGAAAGGGTGAGGAGTTGGTTAAGTTTTGTACTAAGTGCAAAGGTTTGTGACCGTTTATGCAAATTACCCTTAAGTTTTGGGTGTTGAGCTCTCTTATCCGGTTTTTTACCTCAAATCTAAGCCCAAAGATTGGATTGGATTGTTTACTATCCAGTCCCGGTCCGGTCTCGGTCCGGGTTATACGGTTCGGTTTCGGGTAAAACCAAAAAACCCAGACCAAATAGCCAGCTCTATTTGCGGGTGGATTGATGTCAACCGTGGATTAATCACTAATGTGCCCTCCCCTAGTGTTTATCGCTAATTGATGGTGTATGCATGTGAGGGTGGCTAGGGCTGGCTATTTCGTCCGGGCTATTTGGTTTTACCCGAAACCGGACCGTATAACCCGGACCAGACTGAAACCGGATAGCAAACAATCCAATCCAATTTCGGGTTTAGATTTGAGGTAAAAAATCGTTTGAGACCGGATCAAAAATCGGATAAGATAGCCCAACACCCAAAACTTAACCAACTTCTTACTCTTTGAGTCCATAGACCACTCAAATTTCCACAAGTTCAATCTAAAGTCAAGACCGAATTGGGATCGGACCGGGTCAAGACCGGACCAGATCAAGACCGGACTGTATCCAATCCAATCTTTGGTCCTTATATTCCCAAAAAGACCGGACCGGCACCGGATCAATTCGGGCCAATTTAACGGGACTGGACCGTATAGCCACCCCTAAGGATGGCTAGTAACTTAAGTAAGAGTTTTGGGAGCACGAAGAAGAAGAAGAAATGTCCAATTTAATGATTGAGATACAATCTAAGGAGAAGAAGAAGAGGTTAAACGTTATGATTTAAGTTTAATTTGTACATTGTGCTTTACAACTAAAGTGTAGTAGAAAGGCTCTTGAAATTAAGTATAAAAATAACTCACGATCAAGCGAAAATCCATAGCCCGAATTATGCTGATCCCAAAATGCAATCTCAATTTTAATGAGATTATTATATATTTTATTTGTACCTCAAACCACCAATGTTTTTAAATTAAAGGGTAATATCTATTTATCCAAACCTTTTTCATATTTTTTTATATTATCCAAACTTATCGAAATACTAAGAATTAGACAAATGTTAAATTCCAATTAGCAATTTTGTTAGTTATATTGACTTGGCAACATGATACTGACTTGGAAGAAACACATGAAGGTCAACATTCCAAAATTTTAGTATTTTAACTAAGAAAAGAGTTACAAAATTATTAACGATAACGTAAAAATGTCTAATATTTTGATGCATTATGATAGATTTGGCTAATCAATAGAATTTTAATAGGTTTGGATAATATAAAAAAAAACATGAAAAAGGTTTGGATAAAAAATAGACATTAAGTTAAAGTATAGTAGGGATCTTCTGGAAAGTATAAAAATAACTATAAAAAAATCAAGCCCGAATTGCAGTCTCATTATATATCAAGTTAGTGAACAGTAATCTTGCTTCTGATTGCAAATTTTACTAGGTAGCGATGTCGCGCCTTGTCGCGGACGGAGATGGCCTATGAGCATGTATTATGTGTCCCGTTATGATGTTTTGTTAGTATTATTAGCGTAAAAATAATTATTTTTTAGCAATTTTGTTAGTAATATTGGCTTGACCATATGATATTGACTGAGAAGAGAAATATGACGGTCAACATCCAATTTAAATTTTTTTGGCTTGTAAATGATATTTATCTAAACCAAAGTAGGGCCATTGATTATATGTAGGTAATGGGTGACGTATATATTTGTTTGGAAGTTTGTAGATGGGTTTGGGTAGGGTTTGGATATTTACTTCGATAATCTAAATGTGTATGAATTGATAGTCATTTACTTTTTTATAGAAAAATAAAACTATTTATTTGATATGTGTAGATACCTAACCAAACATTACATGTATAATTGTTGAAAATTCTAGCCCGGGTGGAAAAGAAAAACTATATAGAGAAGCAAAACGAATACAAACTGGAACTCGCTCAAAATTTCACGCCCTCAAATCTCATAGTGAAAAATGACGGCTTTCTAATAAGTAATAACCATATTTATTTATTTTTTAGTGGAATGGACATTGAGCTCAAAAAAGTTAGTGGTTCATGGTTCAATTATTAGTTCTCTAAACTGTTGGTGAGTCGTGTATGGACCCGTTTATACTTGTGATTAGAATACATAAAAATAGTATACTAATTATGGTTAGACGAAGAAGGCAAAGAAAGAAATAAAGAAAGGGTTATGGAGGGCGAGTGAAAAATGAAACGAAGAAAAAGTAGATAGTAGAAAGGTTTTGACAATTTCATTTAGTTGAACGTTAATACATACAACAATCAACCCTTTTCACCGTAGCAATTTATTGACACTTGCTTATGTAGATGTAGCATATTTTGTTACATATAGTTAATAGAAGTTTGTTTACTACCCCGTAAATGTACTAAATGTTTTTATAAATTCGCTTTTTTAATGTTTTAGAGTCGTCTCTCTTTAATCATTTATTTAATGATTCACGTAATTAGCAAATATAAAATGGTGGAATCTTCTCCTACGGTTGAGTGATACAACATCTTGTATTATACAAACTAAATTTATACGTTTATGTTATTGTGGATTGGATTTAATTGGTTCAAAAGGATTGGTGGATTGGATTCATGGATTCAAGTGAAATCTAAACATTGAATCAATATGCAAATTTAAAATAAATTGTAGGTATGAAAATCTCATAAATTTAGATACCAAAACATAATTGTTCAATGATTTTACATTAAAATTAAATTTGTGTATCAAAATATAAAATGTACATTATAATGACTAAACTGTGATTTAATTAAATTTGGGATATCAAAATGCAAATAATTAGGCAACGGTAACCAAACTTCACATTTATCTATATATTAATATATATATATATTAATTAATTAATAAACAGATCCTAGAAGTCATAATGTAATGTGACTCGGCAATTAGGAGCCCTCTTGTGCCCTACCTACCCCTAATGTTTTATAATTTAATTTGGAAAACAAAATTAATTTCTATGTACCCTGAAGACAAAATCTTCTTATTATTATTAGTTTAAAGCTGTATCCTATATAGACAATGTTACGCGGACGAAATGTCGATAATGTTAATGTGAAATTGTTGCATAATCATCACCATAATTTGTAGGCGCGTGATTTAAATAAATTGCAATCAAGATGCGAAGAGACCTTCTAGGTACATTCTATGTGGATGACATAATATCTTTCCTAAGCAACTAAATTATATAATTATCATGAGATTGAAAACGAAAGCAAAACTAAATAAGTAAATATAATATAACCAGGTGTATAATAATTGACCTACGGATTCCTTTCAGGAAAATCAATCAACAAGCCGGTAACTTGAACTGCCCACTTGTTTGTTTTGACAACAAGGTTAACTCAATCAAATGTAAAACTTATTTTTTTTAAATACATCTATCATTCAAAGATTCACTTAATAATGTTCATTAAAAATAATAATAAAAAATCAACGAAAAAAATAATAAAATGGTTCACACAATGAAAGCAAGAAGATAACTGAATCCAGGGTTAGGTTATGGTGCCCACCTTATACAATCAAGAAGAAGGTGGAAATTTACCATTTTTTAAAAAGAAATATATGTTAACCACATTTGAGAAGAAATGTTTTTCAAAACTAAACCATTCTCTACGTATTCCACTTCATACTTCTACCTCCCTATACCTTCTTCTATTCGGCTCCATCGTTGTGCTTCCTCGGCCTCCATCTGTATTTCCTCCAGCCGGCTAACTAAAACTAGTACCAATACATGAAAATTATTATCAATAAAAAAAAATTGGGTCATTATGTGATAATCAGCATCACTATAAGAAATCTATACTGGTACATGACAATCAGTACATGACTACCAATACCACTACTGAAAAAAGCAGTAGTACACTGACTACTATTACGGTAATACCACTATGATTTTGGGATTTTTTTAATAATAGCACGTTAACAAAAAAATTTACAAAACTAGCACCAATCCGAAAATATTGACAGAAATAGCACCAATTTTAATGGAACGCACCCCTAAGGTGCGGTTTATAAGTAAAACACACCTACAGGTGCGTTTTACTTATAAACCGCACCTTAGTGATGCATTCCATGCCACGTCAGCATAGGAAATGCACACTGAAGCTGCGTTTTCCTTAGTCTGCGCAACGGTCTTCTACACCGTTGGATGGGCGAGCGATCGGAGGGCGGACCGCGCGCCAGCAGAGCGATCCGCGCCACGGATCGGGGAACGCACCTGCAAGCAACGGTGAACCCTTGGGAGAAGCAAACCGCAGCTTCATGGTGCGGTTTAGATAGGTCAGGCCTAAACCGCACCTCGGCCATGCGGTTTCTGTAGGTCAGACCTAAAACCGCTTGGCCAAGATGCGGTTTTAGTCCAGGATTTTAAACCGCTCCATAGAGGTGCGGGGATAAATGACACAAATATTGTTTTTTTTTAATTTACCACCAATATGGCGGATTAAGAAGTATTTACAGAGATATTGTGTTTTGGACACACAAAATGGCGACAACACCTGGGACTTAGGCGCCGCCGCTCTGGATGATATTTTGGATTAAGAGACAGCGGCGGCGCCAAAGAGTCAGGCGGCAGCGCCGGTGAGTCCAGCGAGTTAGGTAAGAAACTGTCCCAGGTGGCGGCGCCCGAGACTAGAGTGGCGGCGCCTGAGTCATCAGCGAGTTAGGTAGCCTCCCCCCTATATAAACCCAGCCAATTTCATTTCAGTTTCACACCATAAAAAAATCGTTCAAAACAAAGGAGCTTTGGAGCTCTGGTTGCTGCTGCAAAAATGGCTAATAGGTAAGAGACGCATTTATTTTTGTAATTATATTATTCAAATGTTATTATGATTGTGTTTAGTTTTAATTAGTGAGTCTGTTTTTTTGTAGTGATTTTAGAAGATTTGAACTAGTCGTTCGATGGAAATCGGAGAAAGTAGAAGATAATTTAGGCGTCAAATTCGTTGGTGGTAGTAGTTTTAAGATGACGATTCCATCCAGGGTCACATATCATTATCTTTGTGAGAATCTAATTCCGAGAATACGGCGTAGAGACGAAGCAGTACAAGATAGTGATGTGATCACAAGTTTCATTTACCGTCTTCCAGAATGGCAGAATGGTGTTTTATTTCATTATGCAATGCCTATTGTGGATGATGATAGCTTGAATGTGCTTTGGAATTTTATGGCACAAAATCCTTATTGTTTGGGTGCTGAGATACATGTTGAGCTCAGTGAGGATCAGGGTGGAGAGGTAGAAGATGATACATGGAGCGTGCCATCCGATCATGCCTATGGTGACGGTGATGACGGAGAGGAGGAAGATGAGGAGGAGGAGGAGGAGGAGGAAGAGGGGGAATAAGTGCCTAATTATCCTCCATATTTTTACTTGCAGGGTAATGAAGAGGACGAAGAATACTCACTTGTTGATTCATATGGCGTAATTCCAATGCATATTGTTGATAGTTTTGAAGGAGAATTCTACAAGGGGCAGATATTTCACGCGAAACAAGCTGCACAGATGGCGATTAAACACCACGCACTACAACGCAACTTTCAATATGGAGTTGTTGATTCATATGGCGTAATCCTAACAACAGCGACCCCGCCTACAAGATCATAAGGAACCCGTCCTAACAGTCGCAAACAGATCGCCGACCACTCCTCATCCGGTATATCAACTACGACGGCATCACCGTCGATCGCCAAACCGGACAGTGTAACAACGTCCTCTAACGTGATCGTGACCTCACCACACGGTAGATGGAAGGTCGACGTCTCGGGTCGCCACCGCTCTACGAGTGCAGTAATTAAACTCGCATCGGGGTTCATAGGGACTAGGGGCACGACACTTAACAAGCCTGCCGCTTCGAGATATGGCCGATAAAGCTCACGGTAAGGTACTAAAATGGTCGTACCTCGAACATGGAAAGATCGATCACCAGCCTATAGTGCACAAAACTTATATTAATTTATCTTCATTCGTAATAATTCTAATTTCACCTAATTAATTCTAATCTATCTAATCTAATATCAAATTATACTAATTTCAAAAAATCTAATACGTAATCCTATTCTCTAACAGTACAGTTCAGTTCACCAACTAAAATAATATAATTAGCTAATTAACTTTACATGAATAATTATTAAATACTTACCTCGTTTGTCCAAACAGAGTCAATACGATGTTGGCCATGTCCCCAAAGAAGTGTCGCATCGACCGGACTTGGATCAATTGTCGCCGGCGGTAATCTCATCGAATAAGGATCCATAAGCCTAGGAACTGCAAAAACAAACAACAAAACATCAATAAAAAAACACAAACCATTAAAAAAAAAAATCAAGCCGCCGACGAGAGTCTCACCGCGCAAACGGCTGCCACGACCTCGCCGGCCTCTCCCCCTGCCTCTGCCGGCGGCTTCTTCGTCGGAAGACATCAGCGGCGGCGCTTCAGACTGCAGCGGCGGCTCCACTCTCTGCGGCGGCGGCGCTCAATCTCCAGCGGCGGCGCTCCCAGCTGCGGTGAAGGTGCTCAACTCCCCAGCGGCGGCGCTCCTTTCTGCGGCGGCGGCGCTTCCCTTACAGGCGGCGGCGCTCCACTCACAGGCGCCGGCACCTCAGTTGCGGCGGGGATTCTCTGTTCGGGCAGAAAGAAAGAAGAAGAGGAGGAGGGTTTGGGGGGGGGGGGGGGTGTTGTGTGGTCTCGGGAAGAAGGAGGGGAGGGGAGGGGAGGGGAGTGTGTGGCTGGGAAAAGAGATAAGGGTGGAGGGGAGGGGGGGGAGGCCCGAGCCCGAGGGAAATTTTTTAAAAAAATAGCCTGACGCGGCGGCGCTAGGGACTCGGGCGCCAGCGCCCGGAACTTTAGAATCTGCGGCGGCGCCTGAGTCTCCGGTGTGGCCGCCAAAGCCTTTTCCAAAAAGACAATATCTGTGTCATTTGTTTTTAATCCGCCATATTGGTGGTAAATTAAAAAAAAAACAATATTTATGTCATTAACCCGAGGTGCGGCCCATAAAAAAGGGTGCTATTAGTGTAAATTTTTTCGGCAGGGTGCTATTTTTGTAATTTTTTTAAAGGTGCTATTTCTGAAAAAATCTCTATAATTTTTAGGAGAAAAGTCAGTTTGTTGTTTTTTGGAATTATTAGGGAGAAAAACTTGAGTGCACCGGGTGCACCAGCAGGGATTGTTGAGGTGGTGCACCGTGCCAATCCCCTCCTGCCATCTGTACACATTTATCCCACCCAAAAAATTAAATTAAACTTTAAATTCCCTATTCCTTTTTTTGTGCTAACTGCTACGGGAGCTGTCCTCTCTTTCCTTCTTAATTAATAGGGATTTAAAATTAAAACTCAGAACTTTAATGCATGCGTGTAGGAGACTAAGAGACACTTTCTTTTTCCTTTTTATTGGCTTAGGGTTAAACTTTTCCTTTCAATTAATTAATAATTTATTGAATAAACACCCCTGTAATCAGAAAAGTCGAGTCTCAGCCGCATCATTGCCGTCCGGTGTTTTTCGTCCGGTGGTTCTCCATCGATTAAAGTACCCGGTGCACAGCTATTACCACCAGGTTCGTTATTTTCTTATTTCTTAACCTGTGGTTCATGTGTTTAGCAAAAAAATTACTATTTTCTTGTATTCTTATTGCTTGTTAGTTGTTACTGTAGTATGGAACCATGATTTGATTTGGAGTTGGATGTCCTTAAACGAGAACTGTAGTATGGATACATGATTTGATTTGGAATTATATATTCATTTGGGAATTTTTTGTTCCGTTTCCATCTCTTTCCCCTCCATTGTCGGTGCTGTATATGTGCCTTTTGTTTTTTATAGTTGAAGAAATAAGAATCGGAAATACACCGTTTGCATTGATATCATGGATATTGAAGATAATGAGATTGCACTATTTCCTAACCGGGTGGCGGATGGTGAAGATGATAATCTATATGGGAAAACAGTGCCTAATGAAGATGAAGCTTATAATCTCTAGAACACTATTTCTCTTCTATGTACATGTCCTGTAACAGCAACAACAGCAGCATTGAGAGCCATCTATGGTGTGCATCCTTGAATTATAAGGGACCTCTGCTTTCGTTGCAGAATTGAACACTCCAAGCATTGCTCTTACATCAATTGAACGTATTGCTCCAGTTTTGAACAACATTGAATTAAGTCAAATTTGTACCCATCTTCATCACGGCAAAAAGTAGGAAATAGCTGGGGAAGAACTGAAACAGGACGATCCAGAGCGAAATCCAAAAGAAGAATCAATCGAAAAATAGATCGGCGAAATGAACAGAGAGAGCGAGAGTACATTTGCAAGCTCAGAGGACGAAGAGGGCGGCGAAGAGGTCTCACCGCCTGCGGCTGCGTCTGCTTTTGGATCCGCCTGCGGCTGCGTCTGCGACTGCGTTTGCTTTTGGATCCGCCTGCGGCTGCGTCTGCTTTTGGATCCCCTTTACTTCACCGACTCGAGCGACTGTTAGTGGAGAGAAACTGAGATAAGATAAAAATTAAAAAGTGGAGGGTGGAGGTCCTTTTCTTGGTTTTATCGAGAGGAAAGAGTTCCACAATTAAGAAACTCAATTAAGAAGGAAAGAGAGGACAGCTCCCGTAGCAGTTAGCACAAAAAAAGGAATAGGGAATTTAAAGTTTAATTTAATTTTTTGGGTGGGATAAATGTGTACAGATGGCAGGAGGGGATTGGCACGGTGCACCACCTCAGCAATCCCTGCTGGTGCACCCGGTGCACCCAAGTTTTTCTCATTATTAGGTTTATTATTTGTGGCAAGTGTTACCACGGATAAATTGCAATAAAGGGGAAATAGCAAAACAACTTTACCAAAACCAGGAAATTGCAAAATGGGAAAGGCTAACGTTAAGAGCATATGCCCCGCATAAAAAGGAGGGCATATTCCCTGCCTGAAACCCTACCCAAGATTAAATAGTAGCAAACTTTGTTATTACTTATTACTAAAAACAATAAAAATAATAATAACAAAAACAGAAAAAAAAACAAAAAAATCTATTAATTAAGAATGAATTCACGAAACTGCCTGCCCGGCAAGTCAAAACAAAACAAAACAAAGCGGGAAAACTCAGAAAAGTCGGTTTCAGTTTTAATCACAACAATTCTGACCCCCTTCACGTTCTTATCCTCCTCCCCCCATAACGGTGTTAACACGTCATCTCCACTCGGGACGGTGACTTTTGGATAAGGACTTTTCTTTTTATCCTTTTCTTCCCTTCTTTTCCGTTTTCCTGTTCTCTCCTCCGAATTCATTCAATGGGTTTTATTATAAATACAGTCCCCTCCTCCACAGCGCCTTCAGATCTCAACATCCCCACTTTTTCCTCCTCTCGCATTATCCACAAGAAATTAGAAAGAAAACAATTTCCCTCCAGTTCCAATTCATTCGTCCTCATTTCTGCTCTCACTGCTTCTCGATTTATTTTCCTTCTGCCTTTGGTTCGCGAGCTCTAAGGCTTTGATTTCATCGGAAAAAAAATGGCTAGCGCGGCCGCGGCTATGGGAATGATCGGAGGGAGCGGGTGCGGCGGATCTTCCTCGACGTCCTGGTTCCGGAGCCGGAGAAGGGCGAGGAACAATACCGTCACCGGAAGGAATCAGAACTCGTCGCGGATGTTGTGTGTTGCTTCGTCTTCCTATTCGGTGATGGATCCTTACAAGACGCTGAGGATCCAGCCTGGAGCCTCCGAATCCGAGGTCAAAAAGGCCTTCCGTCAGCTCGCTCTCCAGGTACCTGACCTTACTTTTTTTTTTTTTTTTGGTTTCTTCACTCACTGTTCGTTCATTCTCGAAAAATTAGTCTTCTAATCTCCGATCTCATGGTTGTTTCTCTTCGTCAGTATCATCCGGATGTGTGCAGAGGGAGCAATTGCGGAGTTCAGTTCAGCCAAATCAATGAAGCCTACGATGTAAGCCAATCCCTCTATAAACTTCACTCACTCCTTGGGAATTTCTTAGTTGTATTTTCCTTGAACCATTGATAATGATTAGGTCTTGACTTTAGGCCGAGGGGCTCTGTAAATGTCCTTATTTTTCAATTCTCAGAGAACAAGGTAAAATGGGATGTGACGATAATCGAATTAGTGGGCTAAGTAATCGCACCAATGAATTGATAGTAGAATCTAGAATAAGCATATATATATATATATATATATATTTTTTTTTGGGTACCCTGTGTGAAATTGGGGACTGAGCTCTTGTCCTCCATAGATGGCCGGAAAAGGCAAAAATGATGTCAAATTCGGATTGCTTAGGTGCCTTAGTTGGGTTGGCTTAACGATAATCATTACAGTCGAGCATTCGTCTATGCCAATTTTTATCTACCATCCAAACTGTACTATTCGAGATCTCAATCGTTGGATTTATGGCGATTTAGATATGGTTTCAGGATGTAATCCGGTAGTAGGCGGATTGCGTGTACGCATGGAGAAAGGTGGGAGGAGAGGTTTTGGTTAAGGGCACATATCATAGAAATCTGGGTGCGGTTATGATGTTAACATCAATTACCAAACCCTCTTCTTGTAAAAGAAAGAATCAACGAGGCCAATAGTTTATTCCTTATTTCCTTTACTTTGGACCTATATTCCATCACCACTAGTATTCTTTCTTGCGTCTAGGTCCAGGCCCCCGATGGTCTGTCGTGTCCATATGCTATCCTAACAACTCCACATAGAACAATAGTATAATTTGATAGAGAGGAGAAATTCTTATGATTGTTGTATTTTGGTGGGTTTGCAGATTGCGATAAGGAATCTGAGGGAGGAAGCGTCCGAAGGGTATGGGTCCTACGAGTCGTCGGCG